CGGCGGTGGCCCCGCTCCGCCTCGGGAGAAGACTCTCGGCGCAGTTTGGGAGAAACAGTCATACCCAGGAAATGATCCCAGCACCACCGAGAGGGTGCCCGGAATGTGAGCGCCACCAGCTGGGATGGGAGAAGAGGGGCCCTGGAGGATGGCTCACGGGGACCCAGGCCTGTGCGGTGATTGCTGGAAAGACGCGGTGGGGGAAAGCGGCCTGCTCTGGGCGCCTCTCGCTGGTGGGTCCAGCATCCCTTACCCGCCACGTCAATCCATGTGGCCCGGTGCCGTCGGGACCGACGCCCCGCTTCCCCCACAACGCAGCTGGGAACGGGGACCTCGTCACGCCCCGCGGCGGCTCCCCACTGCCTCGGGGGGAGAACACGCCCAGCCCTCGCTGTCCTTTCTAGCTCCTCCCACCCACTCGCACACTCGCACACTCGAGAACCACCACAGCGAACCGGCTGCCCTGGCCACCCAGTCGACCCCACGTGGGCTGGGAAGGCCCAACCGCGCACCTCCCGGGGCCGGCGTTCCCTGGCACTGTCGGGAGGCTCCGCACAGCAGGCAGGGGCTAAGGTGCCAGGTCACATCACAGTCAGGCCCGTCCCTGTCGTTCCCATACCGTACAGCTGACCCATGCACCCTTTCAGAGTGTAAGTGGCTCTCGGTATATTCACAGGTGTGTGCAGCCATCACCGCAGTCGATCTTGGAAACCCGCTGCCCTCCAGCAGTGGCCCCCCGTTCGTGCGGTCCCCAGCCACTGGTGACCCCTGACCTAACATGTGTCTCCATGGATTTGCCTCTTCTGGCCACCTCATACTCATGTGGGTCGTACAATATGTAGCCTTTGGTGACTGCTTCGAGGCTCACCCATGCGGCAGCACGTACGTCCTTCGCTCTGCGGCCAGGAATACTCCATTGTTTGAATAGCCCACTTTGCATCTATTCACGAGTTGATGGATACTGGCTGTTTCCACCTCTTGGCTACTGTGAAATCTGCTGCAACGAACATCTGTGCTCAAGTCTTTGTGCGGACGTGTTTTCACGTCTCCTCGGTATACACCTAAGAGTGGGGTTGCTGCTCCACGATACCTGGCCAACCTTTTGAGGAGCTATCAGAGTGCTGACCAGTGGCCCGGGCCTTTTGGGGGGGGGCTGTCTATATTAACATTTGAATCCACCAAAACCAGCGTGTCCGCACCACTCTGACCTCCCAATTTCACGCGACCCCGTGGAAGCGCTGCCCGCCGGCCAGCGGGTAGGGTCCCGTTGCTCCTGCTGGCATCCGGCCCACGTGCG